TAACGAATTTTAATTGATGCTATATTTTGAACAATTTGATCAAAGAAAAAAAAAAATTATTAAAGTTCCTAGAGTTTTTGTTTTCGATATATTACAAAATTAAATCTTCTATAATTAATTTATATTAAAAGCAGGAGAATTGTCTATGGATGATGGGTTTTTATTCCCAAACTCAAACAAATTCACTTATCTTTCTGATGTGACTATCTTAAGTACTTAATATGATCAAGAATTTTCAAAAAAAGCTTTTGATAAAGAGTTAATTTCAGTTTTATATTTTAATTTAGATTAGATAAAAATAGTAAATATGGTTGAATATCCAAAAATATCAGAAATATTAGCAGATACAGGTTCAATCATAACTTGGATTCTTTCAATATCATTTTTAGTATAAAAATATAATGAGAACTTAAGTATGTAAAATACTTAAAATGAAGTAATTTAAATGTATTATCATGATTATATTGATTTTAAAATATAAAAGAATTGGTTAGGTAAAATCAAAAGAATAAATTATAAAGAAAAAGAATATGATCCAAAAAAATCAGAAGAAATCCTTAATAAATTAGATCAAATTGTTGTTGAGAAAATGAATTATTTAAACTTATAAAATGAAGTAGCTAAGTAAGAATTATTTAATTAAATTAAATTAGGTTATAATTAATCTTACAAGAACATTTAGGATTATAATAAATTAAAAAATATTTAGAATCAAAATATAAATTAGAAATTCTTTTTGACAAACTATGCACACTTGAAAAAACATCAAATTAATAATAAATAAATTAAATTGTATTTTTTTTTTATATTTAAAGCATATTTTAAATGAGCACTAATTTGGAGGAGTTTTTTAATTAAAAGGAGAGAGTGAGATGAGAACTAATTATAATATATCTTTGGATTAAGAATTAGAAGATAAAATGGGATTGCTATCTTTAAAAATAAGAGATGATATCTAAATTATAAAGCCTAATAGCAATTAAGAATTAATATAACCAATTAATAATTTAAGTACTTCATTATAAGTCATTAATATTGAATACTCAATGGATACTAAATGATTTTGATTTAGAAGAATTATTTAAATTAAATATTAAGATAATTTATTTATTATTTAGTCCCCTAAAATTGATATTTTTCTTTCAATTTTATCAATAATAATTTTTGTAATGAGATTTGGAATGAAAATACAAACTAGTCTTATTATTATATTTTTTAATTTCCATTATAAATTTTATGATGAAAAAAATAAATAAGAATTCTCGATGTTACCTTCGATGATTAACATAATTTAATAATTTGTTTTTCGTTTTTATTTTATAACTTATACATGAAAAATCTAAATCTTAGAGTTTTTTTTTTTTGAATAATCTAATAAAAAAAAAAGTACAAAACATAATATATTTGACAAATATTAGTAATATATGAGTGAAAAAAATTATTAAATAAAACTTTAGTTAAATTAATAAATTAAATTGCAAAATTTTAAGGAAATTTAATCAATATAATATATATTAGATGTTATACTTTTTATAATCAATTGATTAGTTTGGAGTTGAGCAAAAATTATAAATTCCTCCAATTAAGCCTACATAAAAAAGTGCATTGGGTGGATTAGTAACTTTAATTTTATATGGAGTAAGTTTGGGATATTTTCTCTTTTAATTTTATGATTGGTAATCAAATAACAAACTTCCTAAAGTAACATTCCTTTAAGAATAAATTCAAGATGAATAAAAATTAAAGCTTGATGGAGTACTTGCAGAAATAAGTTACTTAAAATCACTTAACAACCCGATAGATCCTTTCAATCCACAAAATCTTATATTTTCACCAAAATTAAAACTTATTCCTTTTGATAGATAAAATGTAAAATTAATTTGATATTTAGGTATAAATCATACCACTAAACTTCAGTGAAGAAAAATTAGAAAATGGAAAAATAATAAATAAATTTCTGATTGAGGATATATAATTATACAACTCCCCTGTTAATTAAGCTAAACGTGTATAAGTTAATTATTAATTAACTTTGGGTTATTGTAATCCAAATTCACTTTAAGAAAGACAATAATGCGCTAATCAAGAAACAATTAATCGATTTTTCAATCAAACAAATTTCTTTTAAATGTTTCTTTACATAGAACAATTTGATCCTAAAACGAAATCCATAGTAAAAATACCAAAATTTTATGTTTTTGATATGATAAAAGGATAGCTCTATTTTAATTAATTTGTCTTGAAAGTTGGAGAACTGAGTATGGATGATGGATTTTTATTGCCCAATTCAAATTAATAAACATATCTTTCTGATTTACAAGTTATTACAGCACAATATGATTAAGAGTATTCAAAAAATGTATATGGGGAAGAACTAATTTAAGTATTATTTTTTAATTTAGATTAAATAAAAATCGTAAATATGGTTGAATATCCAAAAATATCAGAAATATTAGCAGATACAGGTTCAATCATAACTTGGATTCTTTCAATATCATTTTTAGTATCAAAATATAATGAGAACTTAAGTATGTAAAATACTTAAAATGAAGTAATTTAAATGTATTATCATGATTATATTGATTTTAAAATATAAAAGAATTGGTTAGGTAAAATCAAAAGTATAAATTACAAAGAAAAAGAATATGATCCGTAAAAATCAGAAAAAATCCTTAATAAATTAGATCAAATTGTTGTTGAAAAAATGAATTATTTAAACTTATAAAATGAAGTAGCTAAGTAAGAATTATTTAATTAAATTAAATTAGGTTATAATTAATCTTACAAAAACATTTAGGATTATAATAAATTAAAAAATATTTAGAATCAAAATATAACTTAGAACTTCTTTTTGACAAACTATGCACACTTGAAAAAACATCAAATTAATAATAAATAAATTAAATTGTATTTTTTTTTTTTATATTTTAAGCATATTTTAAATGAGCACTAATTTGAAGCAGCCTCATAACAAGGAGAGAGTGAGATTAGAGTTAATGAAGAAGTCTATCTAGAATAAGAAATAGAATAAAAGATTGCATTACTAAACATCAAATTAGTTGAGAGAGAGGGTGCTTAAATAAAAGAATTAAATAGCAACTTAGAAATCCAAGAGTCCTTTGAAAATTCAAATACATACATTAAAGTTATAAATGCTTAGAAACCAGTGGATTTAAAGTGATCTTTATCGGGCATATATATAATATACATATTCTATTATTGGAAATTTATAATTATTTTTATATTGTAAAAAAGGTTAATTGTTTTGTTTAGATAAGATTTCTATTGTAGAAATTTACCTAAAAATCGATTAATATAACTAATCCAAAATTTTAAATTTCTTTACATAACTTAACTTTAAAAATTTGATTAATTATGAAACTTTTTATATTTTCTATTCAAATTGTTTAACTAAATATATAATGATGAAAAAGAAAAGTATTGAAAAAAGATTATTTGAGCAAAAACTTAATTATAATTTATTTTTATTTAAAATGTTATACTTTTTATAATCAATAGATCAATTTGGAGCTTAGTAAAAACTTTAAATTCCC